AAACTCTCTCTCTCATACACACACACACACACACACACACACACACACACACACACACACACACACACACACACACACACACACACACACACACACACACACACACACACACACACAACAAAAATCACTTTCCTTCACTCAGACACATATTTGTCATCATTGATGCAACAAATGGCTGGAACAGAGCTGCATAAGGCTCGTTCATTACCAGAGTTTCATCATCTTCATCTGCTGTGTGGTTACTTCCCATCAGCAGCTGCAGGAACACAACAGTGCTTCAACCTGAGACTAAAAGCTATAAAACTGTACACTGTGCGCTCTTTCTAATAGGGAAAAAGTATCTGTTGCATAGTGCGTGACAAAATGGAGGAAGGAGAGAAAAGCAAGACAAGAGGGACAAACTTTCCTAAGTCCAGCATTCAAATGGTTAAAAAGAAAATATAAAGTCTTAAGAATACTAATTTTGAGGAAGATGAGAGCAATTTGATAAAGGAAACAAGAGTTTATAAAGAGGAAGAGGACACAAAATAGGAAGAGCACAATGGTAGAAGGAAAGGGGAGGTGATACAACAAAGAAAGGAACCTAAGGAGTAGGATGACCCGAAAATTCAGAACAAGCTCGGATCATGTCGGTAAATCCTTTAAATCAAACCAAACCAAACCCCAGTTTTAATTAGTTATAGCGTGATTAAACATTAAAAAATCATAATAACTAAACATTATTTTGGTGTTTCCCACAGCACTGTTATGTCTGGGGCTGTTGTAGTTGTAGTGCTGTAGTGAAGGGTTGTACTGTAGTTTTGCAAATTAATAAACATTTATGCATGTCTCGGCGCATGTGTTGAGTTTAGGGAGGACATTTTAAAGTTGTGTTTAGTTGGTAACCCTTCATTTGTAAAACTTTTGTGAGGATAGCTTTTTTTAATCAATGAGTCTCATGCAAGTCTTAACAAGGTTTCGCAAACCAAGGGTTAAAGGGAAATTAAACCATCAATGAGACGAAATAACACTATCAATCATACTACCGCTGTTTTTTAACACTGTATGTTAAGAACTGGAGACAACGCCCAACTCCCCTGCCACAAATGTCACACCCTCAACGTGTCATACTACAAATGAAGAAAAAGGGTACGAAAAAAGTAAACGATGAGACGTAATGAGTAATGGTGAGTGGTCAGTAACAAATGATATACAGGTATTATTATAAGCCAGTTAAACTTCATTTTATGTAAATTCTATGTTCACTGTCAGAAGTGTATAAGTGAAGCGGGTACTTATTTAAATGTTTGTGATCAAAAGGTATTGTTTTCAGCAGTTACATAACACCCTGCAAGAATCCCCCCCAGCTGTGTTTGTGAGGAGATAGGTCTCTCCAACAGTACCTCTGGGTATCCAAACAAAAAGATGGAATAAAAGAATAAAAGGAGGGAAAAGCTGCCGACTCTAGCTGTCAGATAAATGCAGCACCGTGTATCCCCCTGATATGTGTCGGAGGAAATGTAGGAAGTGAAAAGGAAACACTTAAGCAAAGTACCTCATATAAGTGAGGTACACCACTTCAGTAACGACTGTCTGGTTTACATTTCTGACAACAGGAGAGAAACTGAGATAACCACCGTGTCACCGCCAACACAGCAGAGTAATGGCCACTACAGTAAAAAGAGAACAAAGAGAGAGTGTGTTTTTACCTTTAAAGCACAAAAGATACACGAGTCCTCCATGCACTTGTGTGTGGTCAGCTGTCGGAAGCTTCTGCGGAAGATGTCGAGATGCCACAGAACCTGAGAGGCAAAACACATTTACTCACAAATAAAGGAATTGTATTTGCTTTTTAATAAGATATATAGTTTATTTTAGTTAGCTACAATTGATGAGATGTTTTGTCAGGTCTCACTGGAACTGAGGCCTTTTTACTTCTTCTGTTTTTCTTGTGTTGGTCGCCTTCCTCTGTCTTTTTTTGTCTTCTTTCTCTCAGCAACAGCAGTTTATTAATATATAAATGTATAATTGTGTTTCGTCAGTCCTATGGATGAGTTGTCATCCGGTGTGCTTCAAAGAGAAAAAGGACAGTCCAGGCAAAACTTGTAATAGTTAGTATTTTAACTTTCTTAAGGGTTTGCAACTTGTTTCTTTCGCATGATGTTGCTTTCTTCCTGCTTGAACTTTGAGTGCGGTGGCCGACAGGTGCAAACGGGCTACAACAGCCGAAAATACTTCCATTGGGAGAAAAGCACTGCAGTTTCAAAAACAAGGCAGATAAAAGACACACAAATGTTCTGAAACACTAACAAATGAAAAAATATCTTGACAAAACATGCGCAGCATTTACCAAAAACATTCACCATCTTGACTAAACATGTGCAGCGTTTACTGAAGCGCTGCATAAAACGAAACGCTGCAAACTCAAAATGTACGCGAATAAAAAAATACTGCAAGAAGCTCAAAACACAACGGAAACGGGGACACTAAAAAGTGATGCACACAGCTGGGACGGGAGCACTTGTTGACGTTTGGAGATTATAAAGTTGGCCAACTGTCACTCTAGCAGTTATTCAGTTTCATATCTGTTCGTGTTTGTCAGTATATTTTTAAATGATTCGTTTAGCTACGTTAGCTAGCTTACAGCAGATCTGCAAGAATATCATTAGGAATCAAGCGATCACATCGTTGAAATATGCCAATAAAACGTACATTTTGACAGTTGGCCAACTTCGAAATCCCTGAATATCAACAAGCGCCAGTTTTTTATTTGCACAGTTTTTGAAACTGCAGTTGTAACGTGTTTGCCTGTCAGCCACCGTATTTCAGTTTTGAAAAGAATGCATGTTTATCTTGGTAGTTCTTATTTTGGTTACCACTGATGTACAGTAGATTGAGATAATTATTGATATGTTCTTATCTTACCATTGTAACAACGTTTATTATAACAAAATTAAGACAAGGCTTACTTACATTGGCTACAACTCTCATGTCTTCCAACAGATATAAAAAGCATCTTGTTAAATATGCAGTTACAGTGTGCCGTCGACGAGATTGGTGACATGACAGCTCATGGTTGCCAGTTACCATAGTAACACAACATGCTTTCTGGGTGCACAGCAGTCAGAAATAGCAACTGACAGAGCGAGTGATGTAAAGTTTTGAAAGAAAAAGGTTATTTTTACAGTTTAAAAAATGAAAATGTGCAATCTTAATTCATTAGTATGATAATATTAATTAATATTATTATATAATAAGTATAATATATTAGTATATGTGAGATCTCAGATGCTACGGTCAGAATAACAGACCATTGTTTCCATTCAGTCACATGTTGAAAATGTTGAAGCTGTTCTGATATATTTTCAGTTCAGGGAGCCAAATTATGTTGTTTTGAGCCTTCTTGATTTCATTTGCATATTAGAAAAATGATGCTACCATCCTGGTGTCCGCACTGTAGTAAATTATTGTTCTTTTGTTTATTCATGACCATAATTGATGTTTTGTCTACCTTTAAATGCTTTGTAAAGTAACCAAAAGGGGTAGAGTTAGGAGAGAAATCCACCCAGAAGCTTCAAAAAGAAAATAATTAATAACTCTTAACTCCCATTGTATAAAGTGAGATGGTTACAGAGAATCAACACCCCTGCATGCAGCTCTGTGTTGCTTTCAACCATTTGTAGCTAATTGTTTCCCCAGCATATCCTACTGAGTGTGTTTTCTACTTTGTGTATATTCCGATGGAGAGATCCAGTGGGACAGATAGACATAAATCTACCAGCACAACAGAAAAGAGACATTTTGAAACTATAGAGAAGAGTTCTGCATGAAGCAGGCCTCCTCTCTCTCTGGTGCGTAATTAGAAGAAAGAGCTCTCCCTACATTCATTCCGTATATTGAAAGATAATATTGACATAACACTGTCCCTGAGGCTTCTCTGCAGCACACACACACTTACAGTACGCACAGGTCTAAACGCACGCAGGATATACACAAAACCAATATGTGAGGCAACCTTAGCAATACAAATCTGCACTGTGTGTGTAAGTGGTGAGGAGGGAAGAAGGGGGCGGAGGATGACAGACTGCATGCTGACGCTAGTGTATGTGTTCTAACTTCCCCCCCCCCTCTCTGTTTGCCCCTCCTCTCTCTGTAGTTTATTTGGTCGTGATGAATGGGCGTCCTGCACAGCACTGCAGCAGCCACAAGGAGGGCACACTCTCTCCATGCCCATCTCTCTCCAACAGATCCATCTCTTCTTCTCCTCCTATTAACTACATCTATCTCTTTCTCTGCTTTCCTTCCATTTGTTTCGCTTGTTGTTCCCTCCCTTCCCTTTGAACTCCTCTCGTTTTATCCGCAGGAGGATCTCAGAGAAAGGAAACTACACTGTAACAAAAGGAAATTCTGTTGACAGTAAACATTTCCCGGCAATGAAGACAGTAGAAGTTATTTTACTATCACTGTAGAAGGATATCGCTGATATTGCTATTTTTGATAGCTATTAAACTCGAACCCTATGTATTGTACAGTTGGGTTAGAGTTTGATTCCATGTTTGGCTATTTAAAATTATAGTTACCTAGAAAGTACCATATATAATTAACTAACTTACAAAGTGATGGAAACGTACACAGAATAGAAATGGACTCCACCAGCCGATGTTTTTATCTTTATGTTATCTTGTAGCTGCTTGATGTTCATGTAATTACAAAAGCCAGTATTTGATTGGCTGTAGAAGTCTTAAGAGAGGAGTTCCTGTCTCATTGTTTGTCGAAACAAAAGGAAAGTCTGAGATAAAAAGCTTTAAGGAGAATATTTAATACCGCGCTAATTCAAGAATTATCTTTAGTTTTGATTGCTATGTTGCCATGTTTGCAGACTTGCAATTTTAGCAGCAACTGTGGCCAAAAGTCACTGTTATGGAATAGCGGTTAAGGGTAGTGTGTACAGTTAAGTATGTACTGCACCACACAGCTATATCTATTGGAAGATTGCCAAGATTAGCCAACATAAGCTATGGTTCGTACCACACCAAATAGAACTATAGCATTTACACCTTTCAGTACAAACACAGTACAATAAACTCTCAGTATAGTTTTTGGTTTATGAATTCAAAGTCAAACATTTCGTTTTATATCTCTTTTATTGATATAGTAACAACAGACAAGATTTAAAAATGTGTTATCATGCATTTCTGTGTATTTGCGTTGTTCAAAAAAGGGACATATTATGCTTTTTTGGGTGTTATTTATGTAAATGGTCTGCAAAGGCTAAACTCCCCAAGTTCCCTCCAGAGGGATTTTCTCTCCCACACACTCCCCCTACCCTGCCTGAAACGCCTCTATTGTAGTCCTGTTTACTTCTGGAACATAGTGACATCACTACGTAACATTTGCGCTTCTGTTGGATAATGCTTCAACACATTGCACGTGATAGGCTAAGGGGCGGGACCTCTTTAAGTGGTTGATCAATCCCAGGGACTACGGATGGAAATTAGCTCAAAGCTAAAATCCGGCATATTTACACTTGAAGCATTATTTGTCTTAAGTGTTCATTAATGTGCATTGTCCCTATTCAAATAAACGATTAAATGAAAATTAAATTAAACAGAGCCGGCCAGCTAACCAATCAGAGGAGACTGGGCACTGGTTTCAGACACAGGGTGAAAAGAGGTGCTGCAGCACAGGCAGTATGAGAAAAATAAAGACCTTTTTGAACATTAAAGCATGGAGACATGTCCCAGTAGAGATACAAGGTACAAATATGAAATAAGTTATTAAAGAAAGCCATTAGTAATGACATAGAACAAAATATTGACAATGTGCAGAAAACAAACACTAAACTGTAAACACAGAGGAATCTAAAAAGATTTGGATTAGAGACTAATGTAGTGTTATTAATGATGGGAAACGCTGTCCCAGTGAGGTACAATGTCAGGAAGAACAATTGTGCATCAGCTGATCAGCGTCAGATCGATCTTATAAACAACGATCATATTCAAACAAGCCACAAGTTGCATTCAATTAATGCAATAAAGGCATATATCTGATCCGACTGGCTCTCACCCTGCCTTACACGGCTGTTCCTGCACCTCCTGTTCCTGTCTCCCATTACCTCCTATTCCTGCTTTTTGTGAATCACATGATACTGCTGCCATGACGACAGTCAGTTCTTAATTTTGCTGCCCTTTTGACCTCGGTTATCTTGTTTGCCGGCTGATGGGTTTTCACAGCAGATATTCTGACGTGTCATAGTAGCAAAGGCCCAGCAGTCATTACAGTATGACAGCATGCATAATACTAGCACCCTGAAAGTGAAACAGATAGATACAAATGTAGATCCATCATTTTATTATTTACAGCTCTGCTTTTCTTACTGTGACATGTTCAAAATGTCTTATGTGAAGAAGGTCATTTGTTCAGCCTCTCATCATCCTCTGACATCCACACCCACCTTTGCACCTGCTCTATCTTCATCCTCTATCTTCATCACCTGCTGAGTATATTACACTTTGCTTTTAATCAGAGATGCCTATATTAAACCAGAATTGTGATATTTGCTTTACCTTAATCAAGTGCTGCTAGTGTCTAAATCCAATCATGGAAATGTAATATAATGGCAGTTGTTATGAGCAAATACTGTTTCTTTTCTACTGGCCTTAAACATGAGACATTATTCTGTTCCAAAATAGTAGTAATATATCTGTGATACTGCATGCTTCATACTGAATGTATCTTTAGATCAAATTAATGTCTGCTTGCTTCTTAAAGGTTTTCCACGCTGTGGGATATTGAACCCAATATTGAAGTGATTTGTGCAGCATATTGTCACATTTAGTTACACTACATCTGTACAAAGGCACATGATTAAAAAACAGTAGCTACTGTATACCTCAACAGAAAATGGATAGATACTATAAAACATGTGATATTTGAAAATAATGTGACTATAATTAAACAAGGTATTCTGGCTTATTAATGTTCTTCTTCACTGCCAGCCACACACACACACACACACACACACACACACACACACACACACACACACACACACACACACACACACACACACACACACACACACACACTTCTTTAATGCCTATTACTTCATCAGCTATTTTATTTTTACTTGTGTTTTCAAATCTTGAAAAGATGCTGAGCACATACACCCCACAGCAGCTTGCTTTCTCTCATTAAATTGTACACATCCAAACCAAAAGAACACTACTAATGCTGCTGCTGCCATCCAGCAGCTCTACTGCAGCAGTGAGGGGCCCTCAGGGGCCAGGGAGCAGCAGCACTGTTTCACTTACTATCAATAAGTGCATTGAGGAGAAAACATCGCTGCAGCAAATAAGAGCTGCACTGCTTAGTCAACTTATTGATTAGTCAATCAACTATTTCGATAGTAGCTTAATCGCTCTAGCAAACACTGCTGTTTGCAGCCTCTCAAATATGAATACCTTCTACTTTTCACTGTTTTATGTCATATTAAGATAAAATCTTTGGGTTTTGGACTCACCAAGACATTTAAAGACATCACCTTGGACTTTGAGAAACTGGGATGGACATTTATTTTTTTTTTTGCTAATCGTCAGATTAACCAATAATGAAAATAAATGTACGCAGCTCTACAGCGGATTCAATCACAGGACTTATTTTATTTGTACTTGAGAAATAAATGAACTTAAATTACACCAATCAGTAATTAAATTACATTTCTCAAGTAAAAAAAACTTGCTGTTAACTGTTTTATCTGTTTTTGTCCAACTTTATATTCAAGAAATGATTTTAAGCTCTGTAAATATGCGATGGATACATACATGTTTTAACATTTTGCATTTTAACATTTTATAGACCGAGGAAGCAAATTCTAGTTTGAGATGTTCTTAACATGAACCTTTACTCTCATGTTTTACCCACGCATGTTGGCTAACTCAAATCTATCTAGATAATGTAAGCAGACAGTTCACATGCAAACACGGCACAGAGAGACTGGGAAACAGCATCTACGTTTATCCTCACTTGCCTGTGTGCGTGTGCGTGTGCGTGTGCGTGTGTGTGTGTGTGTGTCCACATGTGTGTGTGTGTCCTTGGCCCACTTCTCTCCCTGTTGAAGCCGCTTCACCTCCTTTAGTGAGGCATCTTCTTCATTTCACATATAAACGAAACGTCCTTTACTTTGTCTTTTCATCTTTCTCTTATCCTCTCACCACAAACGCTCTTTTGTTTTTGCCCCTACCTTATCAGACTCTTTATTTCCACTCTTTCTGCCAGCAGTATCCCCTTTATTCTTCTCCTCAGCTTTTTCATACTGTATACTCTTCATCTCCTACTTCAGCAACTTTTCTTCCTCTCGTCTATCCCGCCTCTGCGCTCTGCAACTCTCCCTAAGCTTCTGCCCCATCATCCCCCTCCCTTTTCACCCTACTCCTCTCTTTCTCTCTTCAAGCCAGTAGTCAAGAGGCATTCGTGTGTGTGTGTGTGTGTGTGTGTGTGTGTGTGTGTGTGTGTGTGTGTGTGTGTGTGTGTGTGTGTGTGTGTGTGTGTGTGTGCAGAACATACATTTGTGCCAGCTGGAAGTCTTGGGAGGAGGGAAGCGAGTTGTGTGTGTGTAAAGAGAGAGAGGAGCTGCAGCAGTGGCAGCGCAGTGTAAGCATCCTCACACACAGACTGGATGTCCACACTGAAGCCAGACTGGCAGCGGTGCCAAAACCCACCGAAACACGCAAATACCCGATAATATGGTCCTAATCTCATCCCTGCCGTGCTTAAATATAAATTTACTGCAGTGTGAGGGGGGGGGGGCATTTAAACTGTGGGAGCATGAGTGTGTGTGCTAGCATTGTGCGGTTGGTGCAGAAAGTACTTCCTGTCTGACATTATAAAGATAAAAAAATTACTGCTAGCATATTTTTAGTATAGGAGGTTGTATTTTTAAAGTGTTAGTTGTTTTTAAAGTATTGTGATGGAAATGTCTTCCTGTGTGTGTGTGTGTGTGTGTGTGTGTGTGTGTGTGTGTGTGTGTGTGTGTGTGTGTGTGTGTGTGTGTGTGTGTGTGTGTGTGTGTGTGTGTGTGTGTGTATTTATCCGACCGACCTGCAGAGCGCTGTTGAGGAAGCAGCTGTTCTGTCCGGGTTCGTTGCTCAGGCCTTTGCTTGGTGCAATAGAGGTCATGGTTCTCGGGGTCACCAGCCCCTGCACCCCTCCTACTGCTCCGCCACCGCCACCCGATGCAAAGTAGTTCCTCTTCCACGACATTACTACCTGGACCCCCCCGTTTCCACGGCGAGGCGGGGAAGGGGCGGCGCAGTAGACCAAACGACGGCCTCTATGTCACTCCCATGAGAGAGAACGAGGTGGAATGAGAGAAGAGCTGAGGTGGAGGAGGCAATGGAGGGAGGAAGAGGAGGGAGGAAGAGGAAGGAGGCCGTAGATCGAGGAGATGCGGTGAGTCTTGGATGGGGATTTGGCACCCATACAACCCTCCCCCTGTCCAGCCGTGTTTTTACTTTAAAATCTGTCCACTTGCTGGAGCCAGCAGTTGGCTTTTTCTTTTTTTAGCTCCTTGGATTTAGCAGTTTGTGTTTGAGGACATGAGTGTGTCCAACGCGTCCAGATCCTAGCAGATAAATGTTGTTCAGGCGGCACTTCTGCTCCCAGGTGGGGACCTCTTCAACACTTTTATATCCTCTTTCCCTTTGCCTGTAAGACACAAAGGCAAACTTGTTAGAACGGCGCAAACAAAACTAGAAGAGCACACACAAGCTGTATATGAGCTTTCTAACTATACAACATTGCATAATATGCTGTCTAACGAGAGTTTCAATAGAAGTATAAACATTGCAAGTAAAGTGGTTAAAAACTGTTGCTGTTGTGGTTGTTAAAACTAGAGTTTGAAGCCCTCTCATGGCTTAAAAATGCAACCACTGCTGCTAGCAATGAAGACACAATGAAGATTGCCAAGTGACAATAATAATTATGGCCTACCCTAAACTTGTGGAAGCCAAGTTTTGTTCCATAGTGTTAGCTAGCTCACTGCGGGAGCTACTGACCTAGCATATTCCAAAAATGTGGTTTGATTTTCAAATGCGCTTGGCAGACAGGCATGGTTATGTATAAAGTATATATATTGCATTGTCTATTAATATTAAATTAAAGAAACATCAAACCTGTATAAAAAAATGATCCTATAGACAATAGGGCTAAATCAAAGAGGATAAACACCAATTGCTCAAGCTTTTTCTGGTCTTTTAGCCCCTTAAGTTAATTGTTTTGGTTTTATTGGACATTTTTAGTATAGTTTTGTCTCATTTTTAACTTGTTTTCGTTAAACCCACAGCATACAATCTCCTCAGCACCAAACAGCAGGCAGGTGACTAGCTATTTGAACATTTAACAGCTAAGCTAGCAGTTCTCAGAAGATGGTGGGGACCAAAATAGAGTTGAAAGGAGAGTAAATATTGGACTTACATTTGATAGTTGGACAGAAACAGAATACTAAGAGAACGCTAATTTTGTTCCCTGTGGGATTTAAGCAGCCAACTTTAGTAGCCATGATGGTTAGTCTAAGAACCGACCGTCTGCTTGTTTTGATGTTCCTCTGTCCCCTAGTGGCCAAAAATCAATGACTCAGAAACTTATATGCTTCTTGCCTTCGTAACATGACTCCTTAAAATCAGCACATTGAACAGTGTAGCACTGCGTCAGTCAAACGGGGGCTGTTTGGAGAAATCTGTTATGTCATTTCATAATCAGTACTTAGGGACATTATCTGGAGCTTATACTGGTTTGAGCATCACTATGCACAGCTTCCGGATGTGTGTGAGGGAGAAAAAAAAGAAGCAGATTGTGTGTGTTTGTAACCCTATAAATGTGCGTGTGTGTACATGAAGTTGCATAACACCACAGGGCAGTAGCTAACGGCTCCGCAGTGCCCCCCCCCATCCCCCCCCCCCTCTCTTCCGCTATAGCTTCATCACTTTTTGGCAAAGCTCCCTTGCCTGGTTGCCGGGCTGCTATGCCACCATAGCACCCCCTTGGCTAAAGGCCAGAGGGCTGCGCTATAGAGACAGTCCCATGGGATTGGGGTGGCGATTTGGGGGGCGGGGGGGGGAGCTGGTATGGAGTTAGGGGGGACGTCGTGGCAAGGGCAGCAAGCTAAATTAATCAGTTCATCCACCTATCACACAGACCTACTGCATTCTGACAAATTCCCACACTTATCTATGTACACCATTTTTTTTTTTTTTT